CCTTTAATCTTGGTGTGTAGCCTGTCTTTCCACTGTTTTTACAGTCCTTTTATTTTAATGATTCTGTCCTGCTGGAGTGTGACATGATTTGTTTGTGTACAAACTAATACGGTATCAGAATTTTATACATTTATACTTCTCATTCAACTACAATCAAATTAACTCCATCTAGGAGGCACAGTTTATATGGTTATTTTTTACAATAAGCAGCTGGGATGAATACAAGCAAAAATGAAATAAAAGTAACAACTTTCTACTTTTTGCCTTTAAAAATGTAAATAGTAGAAAGTACAGATAACTGTGTGAAAATGTAAGAAGTAGTAAAAAGTTGACTGAAAAATAATTACTCAAGTAAAGTACAGATACCCAAAAGCTATCTTTAAGTACAGTAGCAAAGTATTTGTACTTACGTAGTTACTTTACAGCTCTGTAAATGTGGCATGCTGCATTTCATGACTTTACACAGAAAAGCTGTCATATAGGAGCACAACGCACTATTGTAAACAAGGAAGGGGGATRGTCCTGTTGTGCATGGAGAAAGTASAATTAAACATTAAACAGACTTTATTTAGTCTAATCACTTTAAGCATTTTTGTGCATTTCACTAAAAATGTCTACATGGACAGGCTGAGCAGTGTTGGACTGTTCTAACAATGAACATGYGTTGCAGAATTTACTAAAAAAAATTAAATGTTTTGATGACCAATGAAATCCATACTTTTAGTTTTGGTGATCTGTTTTAACATGAACAGGATAAATCAGGTTCAGACACATTAGTGAGTAAGTGTGTCTTTTCACCACTAGGGAGCAGTGTAACAAAYTTGAACCACAACACGTGAAGTGTTTTCCTTGAGAACATTAAAGTAGTTTTATTTAGGGCCCTATGTTGTGTTTTTGTCCAAAGTTAGTCATATGACATTGTGATCATTTAGGCCTTTAGTAGAAATATTTTGAGAAGGTCACCTGCCTGTAAAGGTCATTTTGGAAAATCCAACAAACGTTTTCTCAGCTACTTTTAGCTTTTTATACTTTATGTCAGAAATTTACTTTGGGTATTTAAGTACAGAAAATATCTGATACTTTAATACTTTTACTCAAGTGATATTCTTAGAGGAAATTTTAACTTTTTACCAAAGTAATTTTATGGTATGACATTTGCACTTTCTGCCCTGGAAGTGACAAACACCTGGGAGTCGGAGGACCAGGTAACAGACACGTGTAGGGAACATGAACACAGAATAGAAAATAATTAATAGAAAACACAAATCCTCAGACTGCRGTTCATGTTAAGAAACTTGAAACTTCCAAACAACTTCTGGAAACTCCATGAATGCCAACTGGTTGTAGCCCAGTGAGAGCCATCACAGCCATTTTACAGGTTGACCCCAAACGTTAATCAGCTATAGATATACCTCTAATGAAAGCTTTCTGTGTGGTTTATGTGATATTTTGCTAACAGACGGTCAATTGAACAGACAGTAACATGGTTTCTAACCTTTTATGGCAACAGGTGATGCCTGTCTGTTTGTATCAGTGTAAGACAAAGAAGCAAAGGTGTCACACGTTTCCGCTGCAGAGTTAATTTGTCCRTCTGACTGGTGGTATTTTGTCCGTATTTGGACCCCCAGGTGGTGATGCGTGCTCTGCATTTTAAATGACAYCCCACCTCAGTGCTGCTGGAAGTGTTGAAATGGGCCTGCCCTTTAGGTCTGCACATCCTTYATGAGATGAAAGCACTCTGATTCATTCTAATCAAAAGCTTGTTAAATACCAGGGCCAGACCCCCTGACCCAGTCAATCTTTAGCACAACAAGACCCCACCTCGTCACCAACCATTTATACACACACGCACGCACACACACACTGGTTTAATGCAGCCTCAAGAGCCAGGCGATCTTCCTCAGGACCAAACAAGATGTGACTATGAGGGRAAAGAGGCATTAGCAGGCAAAGGTTTTAGCTTGTGGTTTAATTGCAGCCCTACTTCTCCTGCTGAGCATAATTAGAGTTAGCAGGCCTGTCGCCTCCAGTGGAGTTTCATTTATTAGAGATGATGATTGGCTGAGTGATAAAATGGAGGGGTTAAACCCCTGCCTCCCCTCRCTGTGGGAGGGAGACACAGCAAGGAGGAGGGCAGTAAAGGGAGGATCTCACCCGCTGAAAGCTTCCCTGCCTCAAATGACTCAATTAAGTCCAAGTTGTTTTTCCACTTGTAACATTGATTATTCCACAAATCAGTACCACTAAGGTTTCCACCCTGTCTTCAACTCCAAAACTGTAATGAAAGCATTTTTTTCCCCCCCAAAATGTTGGTTCAAAAATGTTGAAAACATACAAGGGACCATCTGTGATATAAAAAAGGTAAATAAAAAAAATACCAKATGATATGAAAATCCATGCATATTTATGTTACAGGAAATAAACATGTCCAGAGTTCTTCAGGCTGACTGTGAAACAGACACTGCAGCTTCAGATCAGTGCGGCTCACGCTTTCACCTGAAGATCCCACATTAAGTGTAAAAGAAAATGAAACAATGTCACCATTCATTCATTATTTAGCTCAATTTCTGAGAGTACTAGTTATTGATATTTAGTTCACTGTTACATTTTGCTAATTTTTTACTAAAGGTTAAACGTTAATGTTAAATATTCTGTCTAAATGTTAAATCCTAAATCTAAATGTGTAAATCTAAATGCAAAAGTTAAATGGACGTGTTGTGGCTAAATGTTGGTGTTGACATATTTCAGAATTGAACGCAACCTTTTTCATTTGCTGCTTTTGTTATGATGTCATCATCCTGCGACAAAAGCAACTGCTAACACTGCTAATGCTTCCCTACAAGACATCAAACTTGCAGTTGCAGCAGGTGTCTGAGCTGCATTTCGGACCACAGGTACCATCCACGTTGTTTTCAACGAACACATTCTGAATTTAAAATGTAAATGCCATCTCCAGCAGAGTTGGTGTCTGCAGGACCACAAACCTTGAGAGGTTGTGTGTAAAATGCCACCAACTTTGATTCAACCCATTAAATGGCTCTTACTGGCAGTTAATCATATACTGGCTTCAGACTGCCCCCCACTCACCCACCTGCCCCATCTAGGTGCATTCAAGTGCAATGGGTTTATCTCCCATTGAGCAGTCAGCTCAGCTCACTTCTACCTTTGACAGAAAACTAAAAGCAATCTATAAATTATTCTGATAAGACATAGTAAACCAATCAAATGTATAAACTAAGAATTTGTACCTTTGTTGGGAAAAAACAAAGTAATTTTGAGTTTGATGACAGCAACATGTTTCAAATAAAAGTAYGGGCAGCACAGGAGGACTGKAAAAATMATTTAAAAAACAGCTGTAGGAGAYATTTACTACTCTGAGTTATTTAAATAACTAGTTGGTCAGAGGGAGGACATTGTAGCGTTTTAGAGAGGCTGAATGTCTTAAAAATAAAGATGGGTAGAGATTCACCAGTGTACAAAAAACTGGGTCTAAAATAGTTCAACAACTTAGAATGATGTTCCTTGCTGAAAATTAAGAGGTTTTTTTGTAAGTTTTTTTTTCCCATTTATTTATTTGCTTTTTCATTCAACATAACTTTCCAAGGATTTTGGAATTGGGATCCAATATATCTATATTTAAAGCTGTATCAAAAGTTTTAGAACACCCCAATTTTTCCAGTTTTTTTTTTCAAGTCCAATCAAGAATTTTAAAGGGTACAGATGTAAGTGCTGACAGGAAAGAGCACAAAAAACACCTCTAAGAGCTTAGAATTAAATAAAATAAAGAGAGAGAGTTATCTGGACCATGAATCATCATCAGAGGACCAGTGAAGCCTGGAACAAGGTGTTGGTGATGACTGATGAATACAAATTTGAAATCTGCAGTTCATCATGCAGACCTTTTGTACAGTTTCTCAGTGTGACCACTGGTAAAGGTGGAGAAAGAAGTGTAATGATCTGGGGCTGTCCTGCTGGAGCCAGGCTTGGTTCTGCCACAACTCTTCCTGTCAGAGTTTCCACTGAGYGATGGTGAAGGAAACTGGACCCACAGACACCTTGACTTTTGTTTTGGGTAACCTTAAACYTTTTTAAGCTTCTGACCGTTCAGTTCCAACCTTTGTACTCTTTCAAGTTGTTCATTAGAGTTGAGCTGCTTGAAAATCAAATTTAAAAACTGGAAAAATTAGGATGTTTTAAAACTTTTGTAGTGTTTATGACCCTGCATGTGAAGCGGGGGTCATATTGTCTATGTACTGTTTATTT